TAAGGAAAGCACTATTCCCAGTGTCACAGGGAATAGGCCCAGAAACCACAGGCAATAGGCCAGAATTGTCCCAAGTGTCACTGGGAAAAGGCCAAGAAACTATACCCAGCGACTCTTGAGAACAGACAGGCCCATTAGATCTATTGATAATTGTTCCCACACTGATCTACATGGGCATGATGATAATGGGTTACAATGTACTAAATACAAGATCTAGACTAAATATAATTTAGATCTGGATCTAGATTAAACTAAAGTAGATTCTGGTGTGAGTGGAATATCTTTTTTAAAGGAATGATCATTCTATGCTTGCTTTTTTTATTCAGTCGTAATTTAGATATATATATATATATATATATATATATATATATATATATATATATATATATATATATATATATATATATATATATATATATATATATATATATATATATATATATATATATATAGATATAGATATAGATACACGTCATGTAAATCTAGATCTAATACGGATTTTGGAGACCACTGACCACGATACAACTAGACAGGTGGAAATCCTTCCCGATTCTCTTTTCTTCTTGATCTCTAGATCTAGGCTACGGTCAAGTCTAGGCCCAAGTAAGAGAAGAGAACAAAAGTACTTAACTGAAATGAGAAGAGAGTCCACAGTACACGTTAGAATAGAATCTACGCCTAGAATCTATTTTTTGAAAAGCTGTCAATTTCTCTTCTTTGAAGAAGAACTTCACACACATTTTAATCTGCATCGCAATTTTGTTTCGAAGTTCGAAGTGAAAATCCAAAGGCAAAGACTTCTGATTTTTTTTAATGCAAAAGAGAACTTTCCGTTGTCACTGGGAATAGTTTCTGTACTATCCCCAGTGTCACTGGAAATAGTCACTTCGTTTTTTTAATTGATGAAAATAATTTTTTTTTAATAACTCGGATTCAATGAACACACATAAATAATATAAGTGAGCTCAGATTCAAAGAAGTCCCTTGCAAGGTGAATTGCTCTTTGTGACCAATCAGCGGCTTTCTTTCATTCCAACACACGCGTTGCTACCACGCATTCGAGTCTTAGTACAGCAGAACTCGGATTCAACGAGGTCGCCGGGCCTGACCTAAAACCTCGTTGAATCCGAGTGTTCGCTAGAGCAAACATGAGGTTTTTTGTAGATTATTACATGCACTGAGCACATATGTGTAAAGAGAAGTCACGAGTACAGTAGTGCCTGAAATGCCTGATATTATGAGCTGTGTAAAAAAAAGACCAATTCGTTCAAATGCACGCCTGTGTCATCTCGATTATTTGCCAAAAAGTTGTGTTGCTGTGTAGAGCCGAGCACACGGCAACTCTTGATTCCATAGACCAGCGCTCAATACATTACGTAGATCTACGTCAATACATGTACTAGCTTATATAATAATGGTCAGTTGCTGAGGGGGAAAAAAAGACTGACGCGATTGTATTTCCGTCCGATACCATGACACAGTCACACGTGTGCAGGCCGCCCATCCGACCCCGACACACGCCAGAGTATACACGTGCGTGTGCCAACAACGCATGTGTTGGTATGAAAAAAGGACGCTGATTGGTCGCATTCAATCGGCTTAGGGAGCAAAAGTTCACGATGCAAGTGCAATGGATGGTTTCCGTGAATAGATAACGTTCATTCTGGGAGAAAAATGAGCGAAGCCACGTCTGTGGGGGCTGGTCGCCCTGGAAGCGACCTCGTTGAATCCCAGCTTGCTGATTTAAGTGCTCGTTGAATCCGGGTTATTTTTATTGATTTTAAAGAAGAAAAAAAAGGGGAATCTATCTCCTCTCGTTGAATCCGAGTTCTCGTGGAATCCGAGCTCTTTAAATCCGAGTTCCACTGTACTGTATGGGTCGGGGTTGGACATGCGGCCAACATATGACCTGTGACTGTGTGTGCGTGTGGGGGGGGAGGTTGCAAACGGTCCGGGCGTGGAACATCAATGGAGGCACAAAAGCGACTGTTATTTTTTTTCCCCCTGGTAACTGATCAATATTTCAACGATAAGCTTACCTTGACATAGATCTATGTAACGAATTGTGCGTAGGACTGTATAATCAAACAACGCTGTATGTTTGGCTCTACACAGAAGCATGACTTGTTTAGCAAAAGTAAGATGATAGATGAAACAGGCATGCATTTGCACAAATCGGCTCTTTTGCACAGTGTTTTCTTGGAAGAGTTCAGTGTATTTTCCTGCAATTTTTAGGTATCAAAGAAACGAAAATGCCTCATCATATTTGAAACCAAACTTCTTTTGAATGAGAAAGTCGAATATATCGTACATTACTTGCTCGGTCCCTGTAATAATCTACACAAAAACCTCATAACTGCCATTTATAACGAACACTCTGATTCAACTAAATTGAAGGCCAGGCCAAAAGACCTCATTGAATCCGAGTTCCACTAGTATGTTGTGTGAGCTGTCTCTTTGTTTGTTTGTTTGTTTTAGGAGAGGTTTTACTGCGCTTGCAACTGCACAAGGTCATATGAGCGGCAGAAGATTAGAGGTGTTACAAGAGAGTAACAAACATAAAAAAGATGGGGAGATAAGGACGACAGATTTTTACAGGAAAGAAGAAGCAAACCACACCAGAGCACCCGCCAACCACCCACAAGCTGTCTCGGAAAATCCGGTTTTCATATTCCGCTATGTACGCAAAAACAAAATTTTAACCATAATTTCCTTAACACCCTACTGCAATAACTTTGGTATCAACATGCTCAGAATTGAAAGTTCTGATTGATTTTTCACTTAAATCCAATATGAAAATCTAGTGTTGGGTACCTAAAATTGTATCTCCCTCTACTGACCTTTCACACCCACACTGCTTGTGCTTCCTCCCTCAAGACTCAAGACACACTCATACTCACACAGACACACATGTGCTGGCCGCCCATCCCACCCCCACACACACGAAAACAGAAAGACACATGCACCTGCCAACAATGCGTGCGTTGGTATGAAAGAAGGCAGCTTACTGGTTGCATATAAAAGATAAAAAATAGGTTATGTGAAAAATAGTTAAGAGTGCAGGTGCCATGGATGGTTTTCATGAATAGATAAAGTTCGTAGCGGGAGAAAAATGAGTGAACCCACGTCAGTGGGGGGCTGTTGACCTTGCAAGTGCCTGCGTTGAATCCGAGCTTGCTCATTTATGTGTATGTTGGATCGGAGTCACTTTTTTTACCGATTTTATTGAATTTTTTATAAACAGGGAACTCATGTTATGTTGTAACCAAGTTTTCGTTAAATCAGTTGAATCCGAATTCCACTATAGTAGGGTATGAATGAGCAAAACCTCTAATCCAATACAGTTTTGATACATTCATACAGAATTCACAGCTCAACACATTTTAACAAGCTGATCTAAATGTAGGCAAGCAGTGTAATGGGGTTTGTTTTTATGAATGAATTAAAGAAATCTTCAACAATATAGGCTCTGTCAGCAAATGTTCTCCTACAATTAGGCAGGATACTGGGGTAAAAAAACACAAAAACCTTACAAAATATGCTGTCTGTAAAATAAACACAAATCCTTATAAATTAGATAAAAGACTAAAGAATCAATTTCCTATTTTTATTTTATTTTTTAAAATCGACCTTTGACCTTTATTGTATGTATTATATTACTGATTTTTTTTATTAATAACTTTATAAAAAACAGGGAATCCTTCTCCTTTCATCGAGGGTGTTTCTTCAGTGGAGTGACAAGTTTCACTAAATCAAAATACTGTGGGCTAACTCTTGTGTCTTCTTCTATAATTCAAATCAGGTTGGGTTGGTTCGGGGTTTTTTTTGCTTAATAAATTTTCAAGAAACCACTGAAACATTTCCAGCATAATATCATTGACATCATGTACGAGAATTCATCGTTTTCCCATCTCTCTTAATTTTCCGTAATATTCTTGTTCTAAGACCAGTGTGTGCCGGCAGCTTTGAAAAAGTATGGGGACAGTCAGTCATGACCTGCCTGCTCTCTATACATAGACCCACTTTGTAAAAAATAACAGTAATTCAGACACAAAGAATAGATCATGACGCAGAAATTATTCATCGACACTCTTTAATAATTAATTCCGAAATCGACATATCCATCAAACATCTTTCAACAGACTAAATCAAATAGAGAATGCTAAAATGATACACTTAAAAACAAAAGATGACAGAAAAGATTGTGTTGTCTTAAAGGTGACCAGGGGAAATTGGGGGAAATACTTGTCTCTGGATAAAAATTTCCTACCCCAAATCTATTTAGTGAATCTAACGTCTTAATCAACTGATCAAAACACTGGTAAATGTGTGGAATATTTACTTTGGTAGTCTTGAACAAAAAAGTCATCTCAAGCATCCATGGTTCAACATCTTATGTTATTACGCCAGGCAATATGAATTGGAACACAACGAATCTAGAGGACCTACTCACAAAATTAACATATCCTCCTGTAACACATTACACCTTAACTTGCCCCGGATCGCCCGAGAATTTCCCTACATGCTCCACCCTAACTCGCCCGTTCTGACAAAGCGTCTTTAGAAACAGACGAGACGCTGAAGCAGAGATTTCATTTCGCATGGTTATTGCAAAATGTTTCTTCTTGATATCAAAACGAAATTTTTCAGGCCAGTAGTTTTAGTGCCTATAGAAGTACGATCGCATTTCCGACACATTGAAGGTGTCTAAACTTGTTGAAAACCAACACACTTGAGTTTGAAAAAAGAAATAACTATGGATTTGAGCAAGAATAAGCAAATGACAAATCAGATTCATCAGATACTGAAGAAAATGTAGGAGGAGTTTGGAGCGATTCAAATTGATCAGATGTAGAATTTAGATCTAGGACCTGACCACGAAGCTAACAGAGTGAGAGTGACGGGTCAGACACCACGACTGAAATAAAGTTAGAACATTTCCAACAGTTTATGCATATAAAGTAATATTTTTCTGAAACCACATTCATTTCTCTTTCTAATTTTTATTCTTTAAAGGATTTTGGGAATTTGTTTAGCATTTTAAAAATGTGTTTTTTAAATGTTTGTATTCCTTCCCCTTGTTTAGGATTTGGGAATACAGACTTCCTGTCCAGACCCTTAGGCTGTAATGCATTGAGCTTTTTATAAATTCCTACAAAATTAAAGATTTTGTTTAAACTAAAATTTTAAAAAGTTCTTAATTTCATTCTCTGAAAAAGCACTGGTCTTCATCTGCATATCATGTCGTTCAAATAGAAATCTAAGAAAGTACAAAGGTACGAGTGAGAAGCTAGAAACAAATGCAAACAGCACAGGCTCCTAGATTCAGTCACTCATATCCATGTCCACAGTCTGATGATCAGTGTCCTTCTCCATGGAGTGCAGCTGAGGTGGGGAACTGCTGTGAGAGTGGGCTCGGGCACTGTCACTTGCCTCTCTTTCTTTCTCACTCCCACTTGCAAACCCTTTTTCTTCTTCATCATAATCCCTTTTTATCTGCAGAGACAAAGAATTTAAAAAGTTTCTAAATGCTAAAAAAACATTAGATAAATCCCAATCAAAACACCAAAGCTGCTATAAATACAGGGCTGCCCACCCAGTAGAATACGATTTAGTAATCAAGAAATAGAAAATTATTCATCTGGCTTAAGAATTTGTTATATGGATATGGCTTGTCTTCTTCCATGGGTTGTAGTCGAGTATAAATGTAACGTAAATAAAGGCATGAATGAAAAAAGGGGTCTCGCCGGGCTCTTATTGAGTTAAGAAAAAATTAAGGTGTGTGTGTGTGTGTGTGTGTGAGTTACTGCTTGCAGAAACAAAAGAAACCTTTGGAACTACTGAATACATCACATCATGCCACGCACCCACCATAGGTGTTTCAATTTTCAAACAATGATCCATTTTAAAAAATTCTCTCATTGGTCTAGGATGTCACCCACAACACAAAAGGCCAAGAATTTTCTAATACTATGTCAACCTAATGTTTGCCTTACTCCTGGCTTTGGCACTTCTAAAGTTCTATTATTTTTAAAAGGGTAAACTGACACTGGGAACTGAGGGACTACAAGGGCTCAATACAAAGAGGATGCTAAAGTGACGTAGTAGCATAGGCTGTCAGGGTCTAGTAAGTTTTTTCCCCCTTATTAAGCACCTGGAAGGTAAGCAGAGGTCTGGAGAAGCCAAACTTTTTTACAATCAGAATTAGGATTATTACAATCGTATTTTCGTAAAATTGAATAAAAATCATAATCGTTCCGCCACATTCACAATGATGGGCAGCCCTGCAAATCTCAAGAGGTTCTGGACAGCGAAAAATACAGAGAAAAGAAAATGCAGCTACACCGGCACATATCCATACTTCGACTAAAAAATCTGCAGGCAAGATTTTTACCCCTTAATCTGAATTGTTATTTTAAAAACACAAAAATCATTCCAAGCTTACAATTATGGGTACGTTTTTTCTCAAAAAACATTGGCAGGCATGACCCTGACTATCTCTCCTCCACAGGATGACTGGGTACAAGGGTGTTAAACACAAGATTATCCATACTGACCTTTGAAGAACTGCTTGATTCTTTTTTTTTATCATCCTTGTCACGAGTCGACTTTTTCTTGCTCTCATGCTTTCTGTCCCTATCACGATCTCGGCTGCGGCTTCTTTTGCTGCGATCTCTTTTGGACCTTAAAAAAAAAGATATATAATGAACAGTTTTAAAGTGTTATTGCCCTAAACGAGTATTTTGCTATCCATGAATTTCTGTACCAGCAGTTGGAAACTATAGAATATTTCATAAAAATAATTAATGACTTTTTGTCTTCAAGCAAAACATAAGCAGGGTCCAGGGACAGCGTCCCGGTGGGGATCCAGGGGGCGAAGTACCCGAAGAAATTAAAATTTAGAGCTTTTAGAGGGTTGAAAATGGTGAAGACGTTGCCTGCAAACCATAACATTTATTTTTCCACCAACATTTTGTCTAGTTTGATTTCTTCACCAAGATCTGCATAATATATTTCCATTGATGGCAATGTTTAAAAGCAGGTTCCCCTTCCATTGCTACTATAATTCAATTAATTCATCGCACCATTGATAGAAGGCAAACCTTGGGAATAATGAATAGATATGTAGGCCTACCTTCATGATACAGTTAGTTACCCAGCGTATACACTAATTTTCCTTAAATTTCACGACTGAAATTATAAGTCACAACCTCGGAACACCACTTCGAATTATTCTTGATTTTTTGGTAGTTTTAGGCAGGTTTTAGCATAAATTTCTTTCATCGTGGCCCTTATGGGGTTCCCGTGCCGTAGAATCTTCGTATTGATCATTTCTCTAGATCTAGACAAATTTGTAAAAAAGTTTCTTTCTGACAGTAATTTTCTGTCAAGGATCACAAGTCAATTTACTTGATCAATGTGCAGATTTTCCAGCCGTGGCAACAATCCAAAGATAGACGGAATGAGTGAATATTGGAAAGGAGGAAATTGGCACAAAAAAGTTCGGCAGATTTTTATCAATCCACAGGTAAAAATCGTCGGTCATCTCACGAAGTGTCGTATCTGCAAAATTAGTGTTTTGCAGGAGAGAGGTTTAAAGTTTTGGGCACTTTTCTTTTAGCTCTAGCGTCAAAACCGGAAGACTGGAATCTATGCGGTTTGGATCAAAGCTTCTTTGAGTGGTACATTTTCACTCCACATGCTGTTTTTGGTAGTTTTGTATCATTCCTTTGAGAAAATCGGCAGAAAATACGATAAGTCACTTCGTGAGATATACCTTCCCCGGTCCCATTTTCAATGGATGTATCTCACCAAGTGTCGTATCATTATATTTCCTTTGTATTGCAGGAAGGAAAAACACTGTGTTTCTAATTTCTGTTCCATAATACGCAAAATGAAAAAACCAAATCACAATGGCATAAAAAACATGAGATCTCACTATGATTTCCACTGTTTATTGAAGACAATTTGAACAAATAAAGACTTATGTTTTGGAGCTGTTTTCGCTCATTTGAACTGTAACCATGTTCGACAGCAATTTACATAATGTAGATGTATCAGTAAGTAACACTATGAGTATCCAAGAATATCTCAGTAGAATTTAAAAAGGGAGTAAAAAATAGAAAGCCCTGTGATCAGCTTGTCTTACCACTGGAGCAGAGCGACACTAAGTCATTGAACTTAGCCATTGGAACTTTGGTTTGTTCTGTGTTGAGTTTGAAGAGAGTGAAACTCTCTGTGGTTTGCTTTGTGTGTCTCTTCAATTGGATTGTTCCGTACTCTGACTCAATATGGCTGGCTTTGAAGAATGTTGTTGTTGGGCACTCCTTCAGAACTCTGAACTCCATCATTTTGTTCCAGTTGATAGTGTTACTCTCTGAATCTCTTTGAACTCCCAGAACACGCAGGTCGAGTGACAATTGCTTGAAATTTCAGAAGTCAGAGAACTCAAGTGGTATCACGGTGTAAGGCTGCTTTACTCTGGCAAGCCTGAATATGGGTGTCAGCTCTGTTGGTACATAGATGTTCCCAGCTG